GCACCGGGACTATTATTTTAAACATTTTGCTGCCTGGCTCTGGTGTTACGTACAGTTTCATTACACACCGTTTAGTCAACAGCCTGCAGATAAAAACAAGGTCATGGTTCACATGTTTTTGCACTTGTCAGCAATTAGGGAAAACAACTGCTATAGCAGGTGTGAACATGGCGTGTTTTAAGCCGAATTTCAGAGGAAAGCTTCTGCTGCAAAATTCCTCTCGCGGTTGGAAAAAAATGTTTGCCAGATCAGGTTCATTTCAGTAGACTTTAAAATACAAATGACACTTTATGTGATGTTATGAACAGTGTAAAAATATCTCCTTCTTTTCTTACAAACCTCAGCTCTTATAATGACCACATATCTTGCCACCTTCAAGGATACAGTAAGAATTTGCTTTCAAAAGAGATGGAGATAACCCGAGGGCAGTACTGTGCTAGTCCCCAGTCACATGGTCAGACCATCCATTGTGGAGCCATTCAAATCTTAGCTGTGCTAGCTTTTGTGTGCTTCCTCTTTTCAGTATCTGTTTTGGGAATCTAAGCAGTACCAGCACTTCCACGAGACTAATAAGGCTACCACAAACTCACACACTTTTAAAGACACTCACAGAAACGTGCTGCATTCCATTTTTAAATTAACTGCATTTTTTTTCAAACCTAAATAAAATAAAGCAAAGTAACCTACGTCAATATTAAACACTGAGGGAGAAGTGTTTATGTCAGGTCTTTTTTAGGAGAGCAGCCTTATTTTATGAGCTCGATTGAATCGTTACTTCACTTTATTGAGATGACAAATGTGTCATTCTGCTCTATGCCTTTAATATGTTTTTCTGTTATCTGCTGTCTTTGGTTGTGTGTGTTTTTGTCTTCCCGTGTGTGTATGCTTGTGGCAGTGCCTACAGTAATGACACTATGTGCCCTACATGCTTCAGAAGCACGTAGGGCACATAGGAGTCAGAATCTTTCAGATTTGACAAGTGTTTTAATATCGGTATTTCTGTTGTTACGATGTACCACTTCATATGTGCTCTCTCAGTCTGACTGAAAATAAAACACTGATTCACTTCTCACACTGAGCCACTTGTAAATTTGCTCACAAGTCTGGATAGACATGCTTTGTGGCAGTGAAATCTTTTTTATTTGTCTTGTCAAGCTATTTTTTATTAATCTTTTTGTTAGTTATGATATTGTTAGTCTGTAAAAATCAGACTATTTTCCCTTAGTGACATCTTCAAATTGCTAGTTTTTATCAAAGTAGCAATTCTCCGAATTCCTTCAATACATCTCTCAATAAGCTCCTTGGCTGTGTAAAACTGACTGATGTTAATAGACCTGCTGTAGATATTAATCTCCAAAGATGTTCAGAGATTTCAAAAATCTCTCCGGGAAGTGTCGGAACCGCTAAGATAGAAAACATGTAGTTTAAATAATAATCACACTCAAGGCTATAGAGCAGATGTTTATTGTCATTTAACGATTCAGAAAGAATTATTGGAATATTGTGAGTGGAAAAGCACGATGAGGGAACTTGTATTTCTATGTGACAGCTACATTCAGTGTGATAGTAAATGTGTTCTAATTGAAATATAAGTCACATTGATTGCCAGCTTTAAATTGTGTCTCAGTGTCTTTTTTGCCTCTTTTCTCCACCTCCATGCTTTGCTTGAAAACATTATCCTCCCTGTGCAAACATACGGAAAACCTTGATATATACCGTCAAGCAGAATACGTGCGCACTGAGAAATCTTTAGCTTAGGCAGTGTCTTGCATTATCTCTGTATTTGCAAAAGCAGTCATTGAGAAGCCATTGTAACAGGATTTATTTAGATGATTTGTTTTGACTTGGTCTAATTCAGTTACACGGACCGTATTCTGTGTGTCTGATGCCACTCCTTTCAAACTGATCAGTACATTGGTAGTGCAGCAGATCTTATCAGATTACACAAAGACAAATTATGTAATTTTGTTGTTTGATATGACAACGACGAGCAAGCGTTACCCTCCGATGTAGTGTGACAGTTTTGCGGTGCTTTGTTTTTCTTCGGAGGAAAGCAGCTTTTTAGCATAATCCACACAGTATCTCTAGATGAATGGTTTTCGAGTGGGAGCTCTAGTGTACTTTTTTGAAATGTTGAGGAGCAGCAGACCAAATTTGAACGGCCTTTATACTGACATTTAGAACAGGTCAATATTCTCCTTGTGTTTTTAACTGTGGTTTGACAATGACCACAGACATGTAACTGTGGCTATCTGTGCATAATCTGCAGTGTTCAGACAGGTGTACTATGTGGACGTACAGGTTTCTGAATGCTTTACTGAATTGAGGTCATCACTGCTAAACTGCTGTGTTTTGATAATGATGCGTTCACAATAATTTGTTTCTTACTTGGACACAAAATTAAGATAAGCATGTATTTTAAGTAAGTTTCAATGCAAGCTGATAACTCATGTAAATTTAATTTTATTTACATAATGTGAAACCACAACAGTTGCCTCAATGTGCTTTATATTGTTAAAAAAACCCCTCTATATTAATAAAGAGATCAAATATTTTCTTTTTGACCAAAAAAATATTTTTCTGTTGACAATAACTTTGTTAATTTTAATTTTCTGAATAAGCAACAGAAGTTAAACAAATGAGCACCTAATAAAACACAGGTTTTTGGGGTTTTTTTGCTGTGCTACTGATGCTTACTTGCCAGCATTCAAGGCTAATTATACAATTTTCTTAAAGTCTCTTTCATCAGCTTTGATTTTATTTCCCCAAAATTTAAATTTTTCTTGCTGAAAATCAGGAATCGTTGCTAAAATCTGCTAGAATGTAGATGAACAGAGCGTCTGATTAAACAGGGACACGAGGTAGTTTAATGAATTTACCAAGAACTGTCAGAAGCACTTTGTGTTACAGGCCTTACTGCCAACAATGGCTATCTCACAGTAATTCTTTTTTATTATTAGAACTAATTAAAATAAAAGCTAATTTCCTTCTAAACCCATTTTACAGTGGCATCGTGGCTACTGATTTTATAGTGATAGTTCCAGTGAGTGAGTTAAAATGACATCACGCAGATGGTCTTGTTTAATTGGTTGAGTATAACAAGCGTTTCTATTTAAAAGATATGCAATTATAGTCACTTTGAAACAAAACTAGTCTTTTGTCCAGCCTGGAAAAGAAATGTATTTCTTCTTCCACCTGGTGATATTTTATATCTTTACACGAATTAATGTAATACTAACATTAATTGCAGTTTGTAATATTAATTTTAACATTTATGGTAGGAAATATGCATACTTGTATGGTTTTGTGTCCCCAAATTGGTTCTCAAGTTGTGGGATATTGCTTTGTGTTTTCATTTTTAAGGATCTGCATGGACTCATAATCATATTTGATTAAGGAGGGACCCAGAGCTAATTTGATTAGGTTATTTAGAGAAATATGTGTTTGGTAATAAACATTTATTATGATGAAAAAGTTTACTTTAATAAGCGGGAGAAGCCCAGAGGACATGCAAGCTTAATTGTTAGATGTTAAATTGCAATGTTGCGATGTTGCCAAGATAATGGGCAAGGAAAGGCCCTCAAGTCAAGGCAATTAACCAAACAGTGGTTTGATTGTTGTTAAATTGATTAGAAAATGTTTAAGTACTCCATTTGAAAATTAGCTATTGTTTCACACAGTTTTAGGCTGCTAGAGAATGCTGGGCTTAATGATACATACGTACTGAGTTACAAATGAGAAAAGTTGTTGCTCGGGTTAAATTATTAGCGTTACACATGTTGGGAAGTGTCATGCTGCCTTTTTAAAAGCAATAAAGGCTTTCACAATACCGAAACAAATACCTGGACATCCCCAGCAGAACCCTCTATATGTAACGCCGCCTGTGTTATTTTAACTTGAAAAAACAGCTTAGGTAACACTGCACATCGAGACTTTGTTCTTTCTAGTCAATAGCTTTATCTCCCAACTGTTGATCAGTTGTAGCCGACAAAACTAGTGATAGATATGGCAGTTTGAGTGTCTGCTCGGTGTTGCCCAGAGCGACAGCCGATGAAGACACACAGAGGGAGGTGCAGGTTAGCGCCAATCTGTTTGCTCGCCCCAGCATCAGTAGTTTCCTGATTAGAATAGTGGAGAAATCCGCGGCTGGAGGCAGGCTTTATGGCCATCGCTACCCCACATCTCCCCACTCATTAGTACTTTACAGCCGAGCGCCACAGCATATGGCAGCGTTGCTACTGATTCCCATTTGAGGTGTGTTTCAAATGGCTGTCCCTTGCCGAGCCACAAGCCTTTGGCAGTAGCCATTCTTAGTGTGTCTGAGATGAAGATAAATATCTGGATTAGGAGAAGCGGTTGAATTTTTTTGGGCCACTGTCACTACAAAGGATGCTCTTCAGAACACCAATTACAGGAATAAAAGAAGCTTTTGGTGTTTAATTGTGTCATGCTGTAACTACATTCCCTGGGAAAATGTATTATTTTGGGAATACACAAAACTTTAACCTAGCAGTGCTAACTTGCATGTTGTTGGGTTTTTCTGGGTTTTTTTTAACCTGATGTGGATGTGTTTGATTATGGGTGCTTTCTGATGGACCTCATTTTGTGTGCTTGTATTTGTCGTGTTCATTCTTGAACACAAACGTTTTTACTTTTACCCTATTGTCTGGGATCATCAAGTGTTACCATATCCTGCATATGCACATGTACAGTATTTGCTCAAGACAGGAATGAGCTATTGCCCTCTGTGGTACCAAGACAATTTGCACATGTGTTTTATGTATTCTCTAATGTATGCAAGCATTATTAAAAATTTAATTTGGTATCTCAGAGGGAAATGCAACACCATTTTCTACTCTGTGATACCAAAGAGAGAGAAGAAAACGCTGCGGTATCCAGGGGACACTGTACATGTGAAAACACTTGAGATGGGACGTGCACTTGCCAGTGTTGTCGTTTTCTGTTGGATTGTTTTTCACACTGTGCCCTCCCTCCAACAGAACATACACATAAAAACATTGGCTGATGATATGGTAAGGTGCTTGGTTTAATTTTGGTGTGATTAGTTTTGTTTTACATCCTCTCACGTTTTCTTATAGCTGCATGGGACTTTTAACTGAAGTATATGGATGGATCAAATGTGCCAGAAGCAAATTGTTTAAATTGCCATTTTAACTGTATATGAGTTACATCATGTGGCAAAATGATACCGTGGGTTTTTACACATTAGCAAATAATGATAAGTCTGTCCGCAGTAGCGCTCTCTAAAGCTGTGCCGTGAAAGACATTTTTTATTGTAGTGCACTCTGCACCAACAAGGTCTGTTTGCCTAAATTTTTCATTATGAACATAACTTAGCCCTCAGCATCTCTGCTTTTGTAAGCAGGTCATAGATCATTTAGTGTGCAATTATTAGTAGCACTTCTGATTAGATGGTTTTACCTGGGGCCTTTTTAATATCCTTAGTTAACAAATAGCCCGACGCATGTAGTATTACATGAGTTTTGGGATGTACAGCCAACATATTATTATTACGTACTACTGCTGCAATAATCACCTTTCAGTATGTTTGATCCATCCGGTAATACTTCAGTATACTGACATTTGCGACATCGTGTATGTCATCATTATATGTCTGTCTGTTAATTTCATTTATATCTGTTCATTCATCCAGCATGTTCTCTCCCTTTGATAATACTAACAGTGACTGGTTGCATGCAGTTCATATACTTTTCTGCTTTTACACTTAATGTTACTGCATTCATAAGAGTAGGATTAACCAATTAATATAAAAAGGAATGTCTCTTAGTACTAGGGCTGCCACGATTAGTCGAATAGTCACGATTACGTCGACTATCAAAATCGTCGACGACTGATTTAATAGTCGACACGTCGTTTGAAGCTTTGTATCACAAAAGACGCAGGAATAAGTAGCAGGATTTAAGAGTGTAATAACGGACTGAAACAGAAGATGGCAGCACTGCATGTACAAGGATGCCAGCTGCCGTTAAACCCGGAAGAAGAAGAAGCTGTGTCCCAGAATTCATAGCGCAGCCCAGCTCAGTTTCCAACAATGGCGGCAGCTAGTTAGTTTTAATATTACTCTTATTATTCTTTCTGGGTCACAAAATAAACGTTTAACATATTTTCAGGTAAGAATGTAGCTGTGTAAACCTCAAATATCTGCTCAGTTTATCAAGACACCGCATATTTTCAAAAGCGCTCCGACGTTTTCGGAGACGTCTGTTACCCACTAGCTCGATAGCTAGCCGGGGGCTAGGTCACTAGAGCCCTGAGAACACCGGACTCCTGGCACATCGTTTTCAAACCCACCGCTGTCTTTCGCTGCTCAGGTTAAACATGATATATGAGTCACTGAGATAACTTAAAATGTTATTGTTTGGCTTTTTTTTAGTATTTTATTTGTTCCTGAGTAAATCGGTTTGGCTGAGATTAAAGTTCTAGTTTTTACACAGCTGAATAAACTTCAAGCAGACAGCTGATTATCAGAAGTGTGAGATGCTGGAGAATTTACTCCGGTGTCCTGTTATATTTTAGATAGCAAGGAGTTTATTAAACTTCACCGAGACAATCTGCAAATTTCATTCAAATTTAATAAACTATCATCTTGTCTTTATTTTTAATTAGCACAGACCTTAAACACTTCAAGCTGTAAGCTAATGATAGTTATATAAGAGCAGATGCTGCTGGTGCAATAAGCTGTACTTTTACGTTCAATGGATGATGATCTGATTAGTCGACTAATCGCAAAATTAATCGGTGACTAGTCGACTATCAAAATAATCGTTTGTGGCAGCCCTACTTAGTACCCTACCCTGCAAACTTGCAAAGTGGCATTGTATGCTAGAATCACTTGAGCATAAACTGAGCAATCCTGTGGGTTTGACGGTAAGTATATTATTTAGTTTGTTTTTTAAGTCAAACTGGAATCTACAAAATACAGGTGTTTGCCCAGTAATTATTTTCTTCAATACAAAGTAAAAATGAAAGAAAAAAAATCTATAGTTTTTTTTTTCTGTTTTAACCTCACTTTCATTTGTTTGCAGAAACACATCTGTTCCTGAAATCAGTGCATAATAATCGTGCTGTCTTTTGATAGCAGGAGACAAACTTTCAATCTAGTTGTTTTAAAAAATGTTTTTTTTTCTTAATGATCCATATACTTTATAGTCAAAACAAGCTCACTGGCAGTGCGATATTTTAATATGTCAATGAATCTGTTTTCTTTCAGCGTGATCGTATTACCAGTTTTAGGAAAACGGGGACGAAGAAGGAAAAGCTCCTGATACAGCACCCAACAGATCCCCTGTCTACCCAAACTGAACTTCCTGTTCCTCAGCCCCTTTTTGATGAGCGGTCCATGAATCTCTCAGAAAAAGAAATCATTGACCTCTTTGAGAAGATGATGGTAAGCTTTGTGTTTCTCTTGCAAAACGTCATCTGCTGTACTAAACAACAGTTTTATTACAACCGCTAATTCCACATAATAATAAGTAATGAAAATTTCACTATGAAGCACAGTGCTGTTATTTTGAGTATGTGTGGAGCTAGTTAAAACAAAAAAGGGCTTGAAAGGCATTTTTTATATCTATATTTCACTACAGATGCATTCTTGTTTTGCTGCTGGGGGATGATAATAGAATGATTGCTCTCCAGACCGACCCTGGTTTTATACAGTGTCTCTTAAAAAAGTCCTTTCAAACAGGGATGATATGCTGTTCTTTTAACTAAATAAACAATTTGATTAACATTAACAACATTATGATTGAAACCAGGATCCCACAGAGCTGTCATCTAGTCGAGACAGCTTTATCTGTGGATTTAGAGAGATAACTGTGATCTTTTTTCAGTGCTTTAACGTTAGCATCAATCCAGGACTTAAAAACCTTGGTGTAACTTATACGTTTATAGAGTTATGTCCATACCATCTTTGTTAAAGCCCCACAAAACAATATTAGGATGACACACACAACCTTTAGTACCTATGTGTTAGCATGATATCCTTGGGGTAATGTAGACAACTCCTGCAACTCCTTCTTACTGATCCTCATTTGAAGTAAACGGTGTGCAATAAATTAACCAATTTTTATTAAAGTCTATTTTCTGGAGTTTACCGTGATGCTTAAATTATTTTTAAATAGCTTGTCTTTAATTTTAAATATCCAGTAATCCCATGGTTGTATTGACACAACCATTTTTATTTATCTGTATCTCTGCTGTTGTCGAAAGACAATTATAAAAGCACCACTAAACTATAATGTAGCACCAGATGACATATATGTTCATTATGAAAAATGCAGGCATAGATTATTTTGAAACAACACCACAGTCTTAATAATGGTGGAGGCTTTCACAATCTCCAGAGATTAGTTAGTGGAGGAAAGAAGCCAATGCTTGTGATTGAGGAAGTATTTTGTGTTGTTGTTCTTTTTTTTATTTTTTAATTAACAATAAAAGAGTTGCTGAAAATTATGTGGTTTATAATTGATTGTGTCAGCATCATGTGATTTCTCTCCTGTATCATGGTGTTTATTTTGCCCAACCCTGAAGAAGGCCTTTTTCGCCTCAGGTGAGACGCCCGGGCAGTACGGGTTACACAGGAAACTTCAGTGTTTTCTCTCTAATTTTGCTGCGTCTGCATTGCAGCTCTAATAATGTCTCAGTGACTGAATCTACATTGATGTGTGACATGCATTCATACTCGTTTCGCCATAAATTTGTATTTTTCAAAATACTTGTGTACAGATTGTGATAAGTTGCCCAACAAAGTTGCAAAGCAGTATAAGCAGATAGGGCTGCCACGATTAGTCGACTAGTCACGATTAGTCGACACGTCGTTTGAAGCTTTGTAAGATCACAAAAGACGCAGGAATAAGTAGCAGGATTTAAGAGTGTAATAACGCACTGAAACAGAAGATGGCAGCACTGCATGTACAGCTCAGTTTCCAACAATGGCGGCAGCTAGTTAGTTTTAATATTACTCTTATTATTCTTTCTGGGTCACAAAATAAACGTTTAACATATTTTCAGGCGAGAATGTAGCTGTATAAACCTCAAATATCTGCTCAGTTTATCAGGACACCACATATTTTCAAAAGCGCTCCGATGTTTTCGGAGACGTCTGTTACCCACTAGCTCGATAGCTAGCCGGGGGCGAGGCTCACTTGAGCCGTGAGAACACCGGACTCCTGGCAGATAGTCTTCAAACCCACCGCCGTCTTTCGCTACTCAGGTTAAACATATATGAGTCACTGAGATAACTTACAATTTTATTGTTTGGCTTTTTTTAGTATTTTATTTGTTCCTGAGTAAATCGGTTTGGCTGAGATTAAAGTTATAGTTTTTACACAGCTGAATAAACGTCAAGCAGACAGCTGATTATCAGAAGTGTGAGATGCTGGAGAATTTACTCCGGTGTCCTGTTATATTTTAGATAGCAAGGAGTTTATTAAACTTCACCGAAACAATCTGCAAATTTCATTCAAATTTAATAAACTATCATCTTGTCTTTATTTTTAGTTAGCACAGACCTTAAACACTTCAAGCTGTAAGCTAATGATAGTTATATAAGAGCAGATGCTGCTGGTGCAATAAGCTGTATGTTTTATGTACAATGGATGATGATCTGATTAGTCGACTAATCGCAAAAATAATCGGTGACTAGTCGACTATCAAAATAATCGTTTGTGGCAGCCCTATAAGCAGAACTGCATGTCTCTCTGAAATCTAGGAACTACTCTGTACTTTGTCTTTAGAATTATTTATGGATAACAACGTTGTGGTTTCTGTGTTTTCATTGGATTTGTTGATATAAAAGATTATGGAACCAATATTACCTTTTAACTGAACCAAAATGACCTGAGATTTATAGAAAATGTAAATGTTTTATATTCAGATGTTAACCTTTTGTGAGGCCGGTCTCCACCTACGTATTCCTTAGGCCAGTGTGAGAAGTACCAAACTTTGAAATTCACTTCGCACTCATCCGTGGGGTCAAAGCTCTGTCACACTTGTGATTTTCTCCATTGAAATGCATTTTTGGCCTTATGTACTGCAGGATTGAAATCTTACAAAAAGCTTTCAGCCCATCTCTTTGAAGTGAGGAGCTGAATTACTCTGGCTTCATTGCATAGGTTGTGTGTACTATTGTGGATAATGTCTCTGAGTGTGTGTGTGTGTGTGTGGTACGGTGGCTGCCTTTCCTTTTTTCTCATACAATGGTCTTTATTGCCAGGGCCAGAGAAATACGACCAGTGCTCCTGGTTTTCATCAGGCGAGTGCTCAGTGTTTTCTTGCCTGGGTGCTCATCCCTGTCACTCAGTTCACCTCTCAATTACTATGTTTGTGCTCACAGCGGCGTGACATTAAACCCAGGCTTCAATTTGCTCAGTGACAGATGACACAGAAGGCATGTTTGTTGGTCTGACATTTGACAGGCCTTGACACTTTGGGTTGGGAAGTATAATTACAGTAATGAAATTAAAATTTAAAAAAGGGTTATTTACTTATGTACTTTTTAAGCAGGCGCTATTTACACTCATAGACAGTAAACTTTTCTGGTCAAACCTAGTAAACACAGAACTGTGGTGTGTAGTTTCTTTTGATGATAGTAGCTTCTCTTCAACATCTATCTGTTCAACACACATTCCAGTTGCTCTCTATCTTCTTTGTCTCTACACCCATTCTGTAATTGATTGTTATTATGGTCCTACATGTTGCAGTCTTGATGTCTAGCTGGCTTCAAATAAAGGGCTGACCCATGGCATATTAGTGAGACCCCCTACTGTGCGTTAATGACTAGCAGGAAAGTGAAAATACTTTTTTCCGCTGCAAAGTGGTTACACATTGCGCCGTGTATCTCAAAGCTTAAATAGCACGTAGCCTATTACTGAAAGGTCATCAAAAGGGTTTGTCAAAATATAGGAAGAAACACTCAGTCAGTGGCCAGGAAACCCAAATGAACTCTTTCTAGAATTTTTGAAACCAACCATTAAGAGCAGGAGTATATTTGTAAAAGTACAGGGGGAAAGTTAAAATGCATGGAAAAACATTTACTTTCAGCGCTGCCTTAGGAGGGCATTGTGTTTGTATGTCTCATGCGTTTTGTCACGGAATTTCCTAAGATGTGCACAGCTTGAATTCACAGGATCTCATCAAAATGTGTAGACATAAATCAGTTGCTGGAATTTCATGTATTTGCGTCTCACTAGAAACGCAGCTATAATGCTGTAGCCGACTTCACTAATAGCACAAAAACAACATATAAAAAGAATTGACTGTTCTGTTGAAGATTTTTACTAAACCTCGAGGTATCACGATAACCACAGTCCTTTTTTTAATGTGTAGAGTTATGACTGTACACTAGCATAGGCGTGGTGTTTTGTGAGGTCAAACGCATGAACTCATCTCCTCAATTTAGACCGTCTGCCTGATGGTGTGAATATGGCTGCTGCATATTGGCACTCTCCTCCCAAGTTGCCATTAGCAGTCGTGGCATTATTGCCCAGATGATGGTTTTACTTGGCTGCCAGCATGAAAACCTGCAAGAGCATGACATCCATACTTGATTGATTCGACTGATTTGATTTCTGTGCCAATTTGTCTCTGTTTCCGCTCTTTAGAGAATATCTTTTTCGAGCAGGGGAACGGTATTGAGGTGCGCGCAAAGACAGAGGAGCAGTGAAAGAAGAATGTGACATTGCAGTGCTGCTGTGGCTAGTTTGGGGTTTTATGTGCCTCTCTGTGAGCCTTGTCAGGATGAACACTCCTCGTAATAAGCTCCTATGTGATCCCTCAGCAGTTCCACTCTGCACCAGGACATTAAAACCAGCCCACAGGAGAATTACTGCATGTGCCCTTACACACTCATGGATCAGACTTGAGGCTAGTGGACAAAATAATTGATTTGTCACAGTTGAAGCAAAACATTTTATACTTCTACTTTTCTTAGATCCAGTTTTCCCCATAGGGTGAGCACTCCATACTGTTTTCTGCCTGAGATGCATTTGATGGCTCCCATTAATTTTCCCTTTCAATGATACAAAGCCTATAGTGCCCTGGTTTTGCTCTGTTTTAGGCTTACCACACCACAGGATTTTGGAATTTTAGGGCCATCTTGTATTATTTTATATATACTTTAGAAACTAAACACAGCAGTGAGTGTCTAACGGTTTGCATTGTGCTCAAGATTTTAATATTAGGGCGCTTACGTCCACATTATATGATCCATGCAGTAATTTCTTTTACGCCTTTTTAATACAAGGGCAAACTCGTTTTATAGGTCAAATCATAACCTTAAACTATGCAGTAATTTGATGAAAATCTGTCGCAGTTAATGAATACCTGAAATTTACCATCCACAGACTTTAGCAGATGCTTGGTATCTTCCCTGGTGAGGTGCTGCCAGGCCTGTGGTGCAGCCATCTTCAGTTATTGCTTGTTTGGGGACTGGTCTTTAGTGAGTCAAACACCTGCTCAGTTGGATTTAGGTTACTGGCTAGTCAAGAGCTTTGCACAATACATATGAAAACTCGTTGATTGCTTCGACTGTATTTAGGACGAAGCAATCAGCAGAAAGTCTGCTGTGTTTTTATTGCCTGGCTACTGTAAAAATACATTCTTAGTCGATTTTGCCAGACCAGTGTGAGACAAACAAGGAATCTTTGTCCCCGTAACTTCGCCGTCATTTATACAAGCTCAGATCTCCTCATTTCAGTCACATCAGCAGCATAGGCATGATATCTTGAGACTCCTTTTTATGTAGCCTGTGAGGGTATAATTAATAATAGAGCATTAATCATTTTGGAGGCGAAACATGAGGGCTCATTCCTCGAGTTTGCCCCCTGACAAGCGTCCCGCAGGCCCACTGCTCCTACCCCTCCCATAATGTACTCACCCCATCACATTTTGCTTCCTTTATTGAATGCCAATTAAGCAGATAAATTAGCAGGGTTCAGAGATTAATTGAAAAACCTGCTGGTTTCCTTCAGTGAAAAAAACCTGCCAATTGTAAAAGTTTCAGCTGCACTTTCTCCCCTCCTCTATCTCCCAGAGATATTAATGATTTTTGTAGCTCAAAGGGTATTTACTAGAGGAAATATGCTTGAAGGAATTCAGGTCACCGTGCCCCTGGATGGAATTCCTGCCCATGCTTCGCTAACAAATGAAGAAAAACCTTGTGAATCAGGTTATTTGTGGTAAGACATTCAAACAGTGTTCTTACTTTCAACTCACGCGCTTCGTTTTTTTTCTCTAGCTGAATTTTACACTTAACTGCATGAAAGGAAATCACTGTCAGAACAGATCAACGTGTACTAAAAGACAAATGATTTTCTCTGCTTCCCAGCAGAGGGCAGCATGCCTCCACACCTTTAGGTTCACCGTTCTAAAACCTCGAGGAGGATGTTTTTTCACTCTGTTCATTCTACCCATCTCTTTGTGAGAGAGTGCTTCTGATAAACATCCCCCTCCATTCTAATCATCATGTCATTCCCTAGCTTTTAGTGCTCTGTCCAGCCTTCGCTCTATCCCTGATGTCTCTCACATGAAAGACCTCTTTTGTGATGCAGAATTAAAGTAGCATGAAGATAATACTCCCAATAACACACAGATACTGCCTATCCAGCCTATCTGATGTGATTGCATGGCCTCAATAGAAGCAGTGTGTTTGATTTTGTTCTCCTGTTCTGAGTTGGGGTGTAGAGTTTTTATTGCTGCAGCCTTGCTACTTTCGTTTCAAGGACTAATTATTATTGCCATTATTTTCTGCTGCGGAGCCACGTGACTTTAATAAAGAAACAGACAGCCAACTTTTTTCAGCCATGGAAACAGGATTTTCTATTAAAGGATTTTAGTGGAAATGGAACAATAATTGTTTGTTTGTTGAAAAAGCTTTTTCTTGTTAGTGAAACCATTGTGCTGTAAATAACCTTGTAACAAGTTTGAGGTTGTGAAATGCAGTTGATTTGAAATGTTTTATTAAATTCAAGTTCAAATGTCAAGTATTTTTGTAAAATCTGTTTTTACTTAAAACTGTTGAGTATCACAGAGCTTCATTATTAACATTTTGCCTTTCTTGTTGTGTAGGAGGACATGAACCTGAATGAGGATCGCAAAGCGCCGCTGCGAGAAAAGGACCTGAGCACCAAACGCGAGATGGTGGTCCAGTACATCTCAGCCACGGCCAAATCTGTAAGTGAGAGAATGCATTTCAGAGTTATGTCTTTATAAGCTAAGATATATTGTACAGTTGTAACTGGTGGGCTGCAATGTCACGACACTTAACACTCCTCTCTAGAATGACAACATGATGCTTTTTGCTTGCTTTGTCATCTGCTCTTGCACACGCTCACTTTTGCTGCCTTTCTTCACACCTCATGCTTGAAATCCACGCCTTTGATTGCAGTTTTGATTTATATCCCTTACTTCTCCCCCTGTTGTGCCAAAATCTTCCAGATTTAAGGCAATCCCTCACTTACTCAATCATAGGTGGATGGTCCAGTCACATGCTTGCATGAAAGCGGTTGGTTGTCCAGGTGTATAATTGCATGTGAATTTTTGGTGGTGTCTTCTTGCTGCATTATTTGTTTATAAAGACGAGAGGCACTGCAATCAAATACAGGAGTGAAATAGGACAAATGTCTGACCAGTAAACCTGTGATAATTCTTTACACTGCACCATAGCATGCTTTACCGTTTAGTTTTGCATGCTATGGATGCTTAGCAGAATTATTTTGTTGGTCTGTTGACTCTCAGTTGTTTTAAAATGAGATTAGATATAAAATTAATTAAAATGATTTTGCCTGTTTTGTGTTGGAGTAATTTGGTGGAGAGGCGATGCTTAATCATTTTAAGCAATAACAGTTTTGGCAGCGATCCATGAATGTATGATAAATTCTTGTATTGTCTATTGAAGTTATGGCCAGCCTCGTGCTGTAAAATTCAGATCACTTCTGAAGAAGAAGAAAAAGTGATTTCTGTCCTCTTTGTTTCCTGAACCTGGTAGCTCCTTCTTGACATCATCATTTATTACCTGCCTCATTGTTATGGTAATTAACTGGCATTATTGATAATGATGATTATCCGAGATGATTGAATTCCACACAGGGCCCATTATGCTTTGTGAGCACTGATATTTTATTCAAATGAATAACGTAATCCATGTAGTCAAAGGACAGAGGACAAAATGGGATGTCTGTCAGCACCCTGCTATCACATTTAATAGGTCTGAAGAAAGGGGATGGTTGAATGTCAGTGATGATTGTGTGCGTGCTGATTCATGCAAGTGCACATGCAGTCACACTATAATACAGGACAGCTATATATCCAAACACCATTACATACCAATAATACATAAAGATAATGTGCTTCAACTTAATAGTTTGCCATTTCTTTACATATGATTGCAATAGTAATGTGACACGGCTGCCAATTCGCTGCAGTTAGCAACGTGATACACAACAATTATTCCTGTAACTACAGTATGAGAGAGACAGGAAGACTTTTATTTCAATGTTTTAGAGTATATCAGAGATTATTCCAGGAAGAAATTCTGTTATTTTAAGAGTATAAAAAAATATAAGACACAAACAAAACAAGAACAAAAAAATGGCCAAGTTGGATAATTTAGTCATCAGTAGATTTGTTCTCCTGTTTTCAATAAAGTGTATTTATACAATTAATTGCCTCGCTTTCTTTTACGTCCTGATAGATGAAAAAAGATATTTCTTAATGTTACTTTATTTAAATATTTACAAATGTGTGTAACAGTAAAGCTTCCTCAAACCGCCTTGTAGTGTTCCTTTGCTGTTGGACTGTGTGATGTGGGTTGTAGTAACCCAGTCACTCATTGCTGTCTGTTTTGCCTGGTGTTACGGCGCAGCGTAGTTTGTCAGCAGTTGCCTTACAAGTGTGAAGAGGGTTTAAATTTTTGAGACCTTTTATAATTTAGACTTCAAAATCACCATTTTTTTCCACTCAGTCTGCACGAATGAGCCTATATGTCTGTAAATTAAAGGTTGGACATTATTGGGAGCTAATGCTGCATATGGGTGCTAATACGCATGTGAGTGGTGATCGAATGTAGGAGTGCATTTTGATGTCTGTCTGTCTGGATTCTCTGTCTTGCTGTTGTGCATTCAATGCTAATGTCATTTTGCTCATCTAGCAAAGATGTATGCTGCATTGGGAGGTTGCGGTTTTTGTTGGTGTCAAACGGCTACAAACATGCTTTGTTTGTCTTTTTCTTTTTTTACTCCACACGCTATTTAATAGGTGTCTGATTTGCACTTACCTTTCATTTCAGTCATTGAAATATAAGGGGGACAACCAGGACCATTTCTTCCACACTCATATGTAGTCAAATTTGTGTGTAGACACTTTAATTCACCTCTTTCTTTCTCAACTTAATGCAGTTGCAGAGAACGTAGATTTGGAACTAGAAGTTTCAATCAGTAAATGCTGGCGGAACAAGAAATATCCCCCTTGTATTGTGTAACCCTTTTCTTGTCTGTCTCTGCAGACTTGCTCAATTGAACATGTGCCTTAGTGTTCAGGAATAGGCAGTATTCCTGGAGTTCAATAGCTTTAAGTGCTTCAGGTTTCTCTCACGGGGTGCTCCTTTCTTGTATGTACAGTATATTCACCTTTCATGCTTACTGACATACCACATCCAACTGCTGTTTGGCTCGAAAATGACATAAAATGGGAAAAGACTAATTCTTACTTTGTTTTCTCTTGTAAAATATGTCTTTCAAAGGGAAGTTAAAGCTTTTCTTCTTCTCTCTCTCCTGTGAATTGCCACCTCTCTCCTGGTCTGTTGCCAGGAAAGTTTGAGAACACTTCCCATAGTATACCAGGGTGCCTCAGCAAGGGTCTAGCAAATTACCCCCAACACAAACGGGATGTCTTTTCACAGGAGAATTCCACATTAACCCTGTTCATTTGAATATGAGCTGTGTTTCAGTGGAATCCAACGCTGCTCTTGCACGAGTGTGCCTACTGACATCATTGTCCATCAGCTTTGCATGAACAGCTGCACTTCTTTCTCATCTTATTTTCCTGTGCTTTCTTCCCTTTACATATGTGCCAAACTAATCTAAACAATTGATACTATTAGAATTTCTCTGAGATTTAGTTTTGACTACCAGCAGTGAATATTTCAGTGTATAATTCCAGACTTGCTCTGTCTCATCCAGCAAAGGTGTTATGGCAGGGTCTTAACAGGGGGACGTTCTAGTGTAATTAACGAAGTTTTATTCAAATATTGGTTTGTTTGATGCAACCAATGTGCCACCTTCTTCTCTGAGTGGGACCTGGATTTGCTGAGGTCATTCAAGCACTTTATTGTTAGCCTGATAAGTGTTTACGTAATTATTTGGAAAAAAGAAAAAGAAAAAAAAGAGTAGACATAATTGTATTTGATCTGAATAAAAAAATCTGTATACTTGCACCTATTGACTTTATACGTGTGCCTATTGACTTCTCCTGCTAAGCATCAGAACTCAAAAGGTAGTAAAATGAGAAAACTTGTCCTTGTTTCAGAAAAAGGTGTTACATTGCACCCAAACCAAAAACTTGTTAGTGAAACTGTGCCGTTCCCCCTTAAGCTCCTCTCTGACTATTATCTGAACACACTAAAGATAGTGTCTGCTATTTTGGTCAAGCTGCTATGAAATAATATTAAAAATACGTATTTGATCTGGTTGGCATCAATATCCACGCAAAATATCTGAGCTCTGAGTTACATCAATGTGACTCATTTCAAGGAGTCTAATCTGCAGGATTCAGGTAATGCACCGTCTTAAATAGTGATATGCTGCATTCGCAGGAAAGCAAGGAAAATGTAGTTAGAGTGTGAATACAAAGTAGTGTTTCTGCGATCAGGCGATGACGTGTAGAAGACGCTTTATGTGATGGAGTGATGGAGAGGGGAATCAAGCATCATATGGCCACACATCTAGAGAGTTTGTGCGTGACAGTAAATGAAACAAAAAGGTAGGTTTTGTACTTCCTCTCTCTGCATACTAGAGAGATGGGGTACCCTAGTGTGTCCTGTAACTTCCTGCAATCAAAATGCATTTCTTCAAAAGCATACGGCAGAGAAAGAAGAGCTCAACCACAGATTAGAATACATTTACTCTGCTGACAGACACACTCCTACTGTGAAACAAGCCCCACAGTTGTAGTAATGAAAATCACTTCCGTTACCTGCCACTATTGACAAATAACAAGGTTAAACTTCAAGAATCGTGCTGACTGCATGGGTTCAAGGTAGCTCCGCCACGCAAATTTGACACCTGAAGCCCAACGTTAATGGCAGCCGATTGATTTCAGTCCACAGAGCCTCTTTGCCCACACTAGCCACTGTTCTGTTCTGTACCACTCATTCAATCAGGCAGTCACAAGGGCAATCATATTTTATCCCCTTAATCATTTAATTAATACCTTGTGTGGAAGATGGCATGACTAAACATGACTTCCGCTTTTGTTGCCGCAACTTTTACTTCGGCGTGTTTCATATGCCGAGCAAATATTCATATTCAAAATAATTGGTAACACTGCAGCTGCCAAACGCAGACATTATCTTCAGCGTGTGACGACAGTTTTGAATGTTCTCTTGTTGGCTTTTTTCAATTGTAAGTGTATAGTGTGTGCTTTAATTGTGTGAAGAATTTTTGTGATGTCCCATAAGTTACGCTAATGCTTCAACGTGTAATGGAGAGAATTCTCTGGCCTTACTAATGATTGTGCTGTTTGTGTCTTTTTGCACATTAACCTCCTCCGCTGATCGCTGCATGCAGATAACTGGGAGCAAAGTTGCGGTAAGTAGCCCATTATTTATTTAGCTTGTGAATCTTCGTACTTCTATGTATCTGTCTTTATTCACTCCCTAAGCTCACAAATACACATTACACATCATTTTATCTCGTTTTGGAAGGATGTTGAGGAGCGCATTCTGAACTGTGCAAGTGAGGGTCATTTCATTTTCTTTTCATTTTCACCTGTGATATTACTAATGGGCTTTAATTTGAAAAGGCTATAAACTGTCAACACATTTCCTGCATGCAAATTTTTAGCATTTTAAAATGAGAAATCTTGAAATTATACAGCCTGAAAGTGAGTCAGGACACCTTTTGTTGGTTTTTGCTGTTTCTCTTTGAAATTGATTGCAGTGTAACTTCTATTAGCATTTCAATACTTTAATATCCACAAAGAAGGATAGCTTTTACACAAATTCTCATAATCTTCAATCTAATCTGTTTATCAAAATGATTTTAATGATAATAATAATAATGGATCGCATTTATATAGCGCTTTTCGGGACCCCTCGAAGCGCTTTACAATACCACTATTCATTCACTCTCACATTCACACACATTTTGTCTGTGAGATACAATGCACATAGAGAATATACAGTAAAGCTTCTCTGACTACCCCCCACCACAGGGGGTAGCTCTACACGTCGCCTTGCTGTTATTTGGCGCTACATAAATAAAATTCAATTGAACATGTTTAATTTGACAGATGTTCTTCCTGACACAACCCCAAAGGGATTCGCGTTTCTTTTTGAGATCAAACGGAGGATCTTTCTTAGGTGCACATGTACCACACTTTGGATCCACATTAAAAATATACAGTATAACACTTAAAAGGACTTTGCACACACTCATAAATACTGTACACAGACACACACTGACCCACAGTGCACTGCAATATTTTTCTGCCTAAAGCAGAAATATTCGACCATATTAGGATAGTGGAAAAATTTATGGTTGTTTATCAAAATTTGCTGTCAACAGCTCCCCATGTGACAGGAACACGACTGGATCCTTACAAATGCTTCTTCTTCTTCTACATTTTACTTCAGGTAGTTTACTTGAAGTATACTATTGGAATTTCCCACAGTATTGGCAATGCACATTCATTTGTTCACATTATAATATACAGATTACTTATTTTCACCTACGAAATGGCATCCCTCTTTTGTAAAGAAGAAATTATTTTGTGTTTTTTTTTTTTTAATATCTACTGGTTCATAGTTTGGCAAGTGTTGAATTGTCACTTTAAACTGTGGCTTATTACCTTTTGAGAGCTTTGTGAGGATTAGGAGGACTGTAAAGCTTAGCAGAAACACACAAAGTAAAGTAGCACTGTGTGACCTGGCCTCTGCTCTGCTCATGAGCTCAGACAAACCTCGCTCTGCAAGGCATTTAACAGAACCATTTGTATCGATTGAGTTTTCTCCTTCTTTGTCAAACTGTTCTTTTGTGCTTGGTTATTTCCGTTGGAAGAACTGGTTTTTCAGCTCTGCCCCTATTGACCTGGACTGAGTAGCTTTCAATCAGCGGCAATGGCCGATTTGTTTTCACTAGGCAAGTTTGAATTGTGAGACCTAAATTAAGAAGTTCTGCAAACCATGCAGGCACCCTATCAAATGCATTGCTTCCAACTCAAGAGCATACTGATTAGGGCTGCCACGATTAGTCGACTAGTCACGATTATGTCGACTATCAAAATCGTCGACGACAAATTTAATAGTCGACGTGTCGTTTGAAGCTTTGTAAGATCCAGAAAGACGCAGGAATAAGTAGCAGGATTTAAGAGTGTAACGACGGACCGAAACAGAAGGTGGCAGCACTGCATGTACAAAGATGCCAGCTGCCGTTAAACCCCGAAGAAGAAGAAGCAGTCTCCAGTATCGTAGCTGTGTCCAAATTTACGGGCTGCATCCTTCGGAGGCCGCATTTATAGGCCGATTACGTTACAGCGACGTGACGAAGGCTTTCCAGATTCGAAGATTCCTCCAAATGTGTCCTCCTTTTCCCCGAATTTGAAGGATGAGTCGGATGTATCCTTCGTGGCCCAACCTATCCCAGAATTCATAGCTCGGCTCAGCCTATTCCAGTTTCCAACAATGGCGGCAGCTACTTAGTTTTAATATTACTCTTTCTGGGTCACAAAATAAACTTTTAACATATTTTCTCGGCGAATATAGCTGTATAAACTTCAAATATCTGCTCGGTTTATCAAGACATCACATATTTTTAAAAGTGCCCCAACGTTTTCGGAGTCGTCTGTTACCCACCCGCTCGATAGCTGGAGGGTTCAAGGCTCACTGGAGCCGGCGTAAAACACCAGACTCCCTTCACTACCTGTTATATTTTAGATGGCAAGGAGCAGACGCCTGAGTTTATTAAGCTCCACCGAGACAATCTGCAAAATTCATTAAAAGTTTAATAAAGTATCATCTTGTCTTTATTTTTAGTTAGCACATACCTTAAACACTTAAAGCTGTAAGCTAATGCTAGTTAGCGGATGCATGCTGGTGCAATAAGCTGTATGTTTTACGTCCAATGGATGATGATCTGATTAGTCGACTAATCGCAAAAATAATCTGTGACTAGTCGACTATCAAAATAATTGTGGCAGCCCTAATACTGATGCATTTGTAACCTTTGTGCCATCCCTCTACCAGTAGCCCATAGATATGGCTAGCATACAGGCAGGTATAAACTGTCATTCTTGAAAGCCCAACTGAAAGCTAGTGGGGTGCAGATGGAGAGCATTTAGCCGATGATGGCCTACAGTACAACTCCCTGCTTTGCTGGCAGATTCCCATTTTCATGCTGTCTGCGTGTGTCGGTTGGACAGAGTGCTCTCTTATGTGCTGTAAGGGAAGTGTTGGTTAGGATTGTCTGCAGGGAAAATACAACTGTAACTTCTCTGTCTAAGGCATGAAACCTCCCTGGCACTCTCCTCGTGGAGAATGATTTAGGAATACAGAGACTGTGGGAATTACCTGTAATCCACTTTGACCATTGTTAAACTGTACAACATTGCAAAGCCGCATATCCTCTCAATGTGTGGATTCCCTATTAATGCCCCTATTCTGCCCCTGTGTCATCAAGTTTGTGGTCTTTACCCTTGATGTTAAGATTCATTGTATATAACATATACATATAAGTAACTGCATGTTTTACGCAGTGCGCTGCAGTTCCCTGTACCCACTACAATGGTTTTATAACGTCAGGCTTTGTAAAACTTGGCCTGATTTACGTCACAAGTCAAGGGCCACATTGTAACAATACATCAATGTCTACTGCAGTGTTAACGTGAAAGCCTTTGATTGTGAGAGGTTGTGTGATGCAGGCAAAAGAAAAAAAGAAACTGCAATCTCTAGACCACAGGGAGGTGATCAATATCTCTATGACTGGACAGATGACTGCTTATTTCCATGGTAACATCGTGGTCAGTTCTGAGATGTCAGGTGGTGATGGCTGGTGTGGTTGTGTGTGTTTTCAGTGTGTGGGTTGGACCAGAGATCCTAAAACGCATCAGACAACCTGAGAAAAAAGGTCAGAAGAGGCTGTATCGGCTTCACTATAGCTGATGAACTTCATAAACAGTCTTCTTTTTTCTGCTGCATTGGAATGTTGGCATTTTAATTTCAGTCTAGCTAAAGATGTCTTTAACATCAACTTTATTTTCTTGTGTGCAGAGTTGTGCGGATGTATGCAGTTATGTGATTGTGTATGCTATAGGAGGATAGGAATACATTAGAAAAATCTCACATCCCAATGTCATGGAGTATAACTTAGTTCAACTACAAGGTCGTTTTCATTAATCTGTTCAAATGTGGCTGTATATTCAACATTTAAATGAAAAGATGTTTGCGTGTCTATCACGCACAGCATTGCAAAAGCACTAAACCTTGATATTTTCCTCATTTTTGAGATAGTTTCATTTGCAATCCACCTGAGGTATTTTATTGATGTATTTTTTAAATCATTATTTTCTAAAGATGCATTTTTCCTCACTAATTTATTAGTTACTGTTAAAAGTTAATCAATACCTTAGGTAAAAATTCACATTCAGAGCATTCAGTCAATATGCAAAATTTGGACATAACTTTTTATGATCAGCAGTCAAAACCCCTAAATTTCTTTTTTTAGAGAGAAAGGCAAGAGAAATGCACTTACCCTTTAGCACTGAAATGAAGGATGTTGATATACATTTCTTTTGTTTTATTGGTTGATATTATATGTATCTCAGGTGAATTACCTGTGCTCCTAATCTTCTGTGTTAGTGCCAAGGATTTTTGGACAATCTGTTAGCAAATAGTTATCGTTAGGATAGAGAATCGCAAAGCATCCAGATGGGAAACAAGGGACATAGAAAGAGAGTTGCAAGGATATGAGGCAGACATCTGGCTCCTCTTTAACTCCAATCAAGTGTTCGTTCACAGTGCCAGGAGTGCTTGTGAAGGACCCTAAAAAAAGGAAAAAGTAAAAGAAATATGGTGAGCCTGAAAGGAAATCAAGGCACCCTCCCTCCCTGCTTACCTTTTAAAACCACATACCTCAAAAGACTTTTTGTTTCAAGCAAGCTATTAAACTGGGTGCTGAGGGTTGAGCAGATTTGATGTGGCACATGTCCTTGGTTCTTTAAAAGAACAGGAATGAAAAATTAATCAATAGCGTGTGCCTCCCATGCCCTGAGCCAGTGTTCAACATAGATTCTATTTTAAATTAAGATCAAGGAAACATGCTCTGGAGGGGACCGTTTCAATAAGATGTTTCTTTGATTGGCTGAAAGCAAATTTTAGAGTTCTTCTGATTGACATAAAAAGTTGCCTGAGAGTGAGATTAGGAAATATTTATTTGACAAAATACTTTCACATAGGATATCTTTAAATATGCTTTGCTATCATTGTTAATAAATACTGAACATTTGTTGCTTTAATGACTCAAATTATAGGAAAATTCTATTCCCAGAATCCTTCACTGGGATGTGTTAGGGCGCTAACATGTAGACTACAGTT